GGCCAGCGGGTCGTCTACTCCTATTCATATTCCTATTCAACCCCAACCGTGAACTCGTGCTCCTCAACCGTGAAGGCGTGTACACAAACCACGAAGGCGTGTACACAAACCGCGAAGGCGTGCACCCCGACCGCGACGGCGTCCAACGTCGCCAGCTCCAATAACGAACAGAGCACACCCAAAGAAATAGAAAAAAAAGAAGGTAAGGTGAGCTTCATTCACGCAACAAAAGCAACTGAACTGTGTGTTAGTGCACCTTCAACGCTATTCTTTAGACGGTTTATCAGGCTTTAAAATGGGTGTAATGAAACGGCACAATTACCAACATGTTTGGCGATTAAAGTCAACGAGACGTAATCGACGAAGAAAGCAGACATAAGTTTTACAAATTAAGACTGCTTATGAGGTGTTTAGAGCCGTGCAAGGACCCGACGAGATGGGTGGAGGCAAGCGGAGGCGAGGTCCCCATCGGAGCCGTTGTCGGCGGGGAGGATGGTGGAGAAGCTCTTTATGTGGCGAGAGCAGAACATGAGGGTGATATGCTTCCTGGGAAGTTGGTTCCCTCCCATCGTGTTTGCATGCAAGGAACCCCGACACCTCTTGTGAGGTTCTCATTTATGCTTCATTCAACTCAAAGCTACTTCTCCTACACAGTACCGACAGTAGCATTCGTACTAACATTCGAATTTTCTTTTTCCCGGCCCGTGGCATTCTAGAAGTTTAAGAAGATTAAACATAATGGGCCTCTTGATTCCAATGCTCTGAAGTGACTGTTGAAAAATACCAGATAAGTTCATCGAGGCGAATCGTCCCAAGATCTTCATGATATAGCCTAAATATATCTCTTGTCGAATATTTATTGTTGAATGTCTCCGACCACCACCATGGAAAATTCACTAGTGCCTTTTATAACCTTCAAGAGATACAATGACAGCAACATGAAGATGATCGGCGCTTCGTCTATACAATCCTGATACGCTTCTTCCTCTGCTGGATTCCATTAGTTCTCATCGTTTTTCTTCTCTTTTCCCTCCACATGTAAAAGGTTCTGGTGAGTGATGACATGGCGAAGTTGGTCTGGCTTCCAGGATCCGCGGGATCAATCCCTTCTGGAGCCTTGAAGGGTGGACAAACTGCATCGGGTGAGCCGTTGTACATTGGAAGATGCAAGCAAGGAAATACCCTCACATGTGGCAAGGCACGTGTAATCAATTTTCTTCCTCCCTATATCATAGTTTTTATACATTGTACTAGCGAGGAAATAAGGGAAATCGTTTGTTTCGGGGAGGCGTAGCAGAGGGTCAGCAGCTACACAACATTTAATGCTCCTCCAGGAGGAGGCTGACGGGCTTTCAGTATTTTATGAATGCAGTCGTAGGTACAGTAAATGTATTAGTTTTAAACAGAGAAACATGGTATTCAGATCATCGAGAAAGGTTAATAGTCATTGAATTTCTAGATTGACGAACATTCCAAGGGAGACATGGCCCCATATCAAGCTAGAGAAGAAATAGAGTAGGTCAGCTCAACACATTTTTCTTTTAACCCTGATACCCTGACATATGGGGTCATATACCGAGTGATCTTAAAAAAACCTCTATCATTGTCTTTGGGAGAAGCACAATATCCTAAATGTAACCAATGAAGTTTATCATTGTACATGCGATCGAAATTGGACAATTAGGAGGTGTTGAGCGGCATGTCAGCTTATTTCAGCACCTCTGCTCAATTTGTGCAATAGCCATTTAGAAGCAAACTAAACGTGACTAGAGGTAGAGGTATGGTAAATGAGGTAAAAGACTTGTGCTCGACCGACTCCGAATTCAATTAAATTTGGCAAGCGGTCGGATTATTTTGAGTATAACCGACAGACAAAACGACACGTCTGAACATCGAGCGGAGACAAAGTTTATACTGATAATTAAACTAACCCAACTCCCCGTGTTTTATCGGGGGTAGTAGTGGTTTATAAAAGGTGTAGTAGTTATACTGCGCCATACGACTATCGCCCGCGAAAACAAGTGGCCGGGGGGTGCCCTGCCTCTGTGCTATGCCTTTTTTTACTTAGGAAAAGCAAAAATGTTTCATTTTTAGTGTTTGAACCTCCCATGAGCCTTTCTGCCAAATGCCAGTTGTATATCAGAAACCTTCAGTCAATTTGGCCTTGAAACCAATTAAAGAATATGAATTTAGTCAAACTAAAGTCAGATTGAGGCCAAATTTAAGAAAACCACTCTTGTTGAATTTTGAGATCATGGAGCATAGACCATTCTTGCATTCGAGATTAAACGATCCAACAGTAAATTTAGCAACCTGACAAAGGACAGCTCAAATAATTGTTTTGAGAAAAACTCAATCTTTTTAACACCTTCAAAATGTCCAATATCAAAAGTTTACGAATCGTACTTCCTCCCGGGGAATATGCAAATGTATAACTCTTTTAGGGCCACGTTTCCTAGCTCAATGTTAGTTTTTTTATATTAAAGAGTGCGAACATCAGTAGATTTGCAAAATTAAAAGCTATTTTGGATGAAAATTGAAATTGAAATTTTGACGAAACACATACCCATATGTTCATGTCGTTTCACTGCTGTTCTTTGCTCACCTGATCACATGGGCACCGCTCGAAAAGAAAAAGGTGAAGAACCCAATGATCTATCAGCCAGTGCCCTCACTCCCATCGAGAGAAATCTGTGAACGAAAGTTAGAAATCTTGCAAATATTCCATCACTGTGCTCCCAGTTGCAAAAGGAAGGACGAACCGCCTTACCGCCTTACCGCCTCATTTTGATTCGAACTGCCTCAACCATATTTTTTATATTGTTTCAAATTGAATGAGAGAAATGAGAGAGAACAGAAAGAAACCGTTAAGAGGCTTCGTTAACGACTGCCATTTTCTATGATTTCCAGATTCACAGATCCCTAAAAGCATGCTTTATCCCTTATGGAGGCCGAGAGTACGGTTACGGAAGCTATGAGGTATTGGCACTGAAACAAACACCCGAGGAGTCGGCAGTGAAACCAAAACCAGAAGTAAAGACCACACCAAAGGAACCCGAGAAGAAAGATGGTAAGGTGACCCTCATTCTCGTGATATAGGATGCTGGAACATGCATTGTAAGAGGAAGTTACGAAAAGAGATCTGCCGAACAGTCTGAAACTTTCCTCCCATAACGTTGCGGTGTTAATAATGTCCTTCTTTGTGCCTCGGGGCCGGGATTGATACCTGGCTCTCCATGCTCACGACTCAGGATCTTGGCAATTCCTTTTAGATGTAACAATTCGCTTTATCCTGGGCATTAACGTTCATCGTATATATTTTTTTATTTCTATACAATTTCTAAAGTGCAGATGAGGGCCTCGCCTTCACATCATTAACGAAAATATAATACAGGGCATTGGAAACCAGCAAATACAGTTTTCGAGGTGTTTGCACTCCAGATCTGCCGGTATAGTCAAGCATGGGCTGAGCAGCTGTCGCAATGGAATCGATTGGAGCACCGAATGAACGTGGGTCGACAGGACGGGAAGCAATATGGAGAAAATTGCTACATGGCCATGGGGGTGTCGTCCGTAAAGCCGGAAGATGTTGTCGACGCTTGGTACAACGAAGTCCGTTACCACAATTACTCTTGGAATAGCTTCGTTTACCAAACGGGTGTGTGCACTTGAGCTCATTTTTTTTAAACCAATGAATACAGGTTTGAAAACTCATTTTCCACCCGCACCCAGGACACTTCACGCAGGTGGTCTGGACTGACAGCAAGCGAGTCGGGGTTGGAATAGCGCGTAAGGGTTCCAATTGGTTCGTCGTCAGCAGCTACGATCCGCCTGGAAATTACGCTGGACGCTTCAACCGATGTGTTCGTCCACCCGTTGATTGAAGAGCGGGATGCGTCAGGAAGTCAGAATAGCGCGTAATGGTTCCAATTGGTTCGTCGTCAGCAGCTACGATCCGCCTGGAAATTACGCTGGACGCTTCAACCGATGTGTTCGTCCACCCGTTGATTGAAGAGCGGGATGCGTCAGGAAGTCCGATTACGCCTACCCACCCAGAAATGTACTTGAACAATTTAAAAAATATGCTTTCAGAATTCCTTCCAGCCCGACACGCCAACCTGCCCCGCATTTCGCTGATCCTTGCTTGCCTGCTTTTCTTCCTACTCCCTTTTACTGCTCAGAAAAAAATAATGTGAAATTAGTACTTACTTGCATTCCGAATAAAAGGATGCCGGTTTTGGCTCTAATTAGACGGGTACCTTGAAGAACTTCCAGGATATTTGTTGTCGTAGAGGTCGACAGCCTGGTAAATTTCAATGTAATCTGTCCGTTTAGTTACATTCGCTAGGAATGATCGTGATCGTATAATCCATGCATGTGATTTTCTCATTATTTCGCTTAGCAGTTTCTGTTTATTTCATTGATTTTGGAGCTCTTCGAAGTGTGTAAACACACACGCTCATTTCCTGTTTCCCCCCCCCCCTTTGCATTTTTCCCGGGTATTTCATGATTTCTTTATTAATACTTATGTTGTTTGGATTGTCTATGCCTGCCTGATTACCGATATATGAGGGAGATATCAAAAGGCAGCAAAAAAAAAACTAAATTGGTATTCTTCATATTCTGGTGCTTGTATGCACGCAATACATGTTAAATTCCTCATAGAGATGATGTTTTTCCCTTTCGGATATGCTGCTAAAAATAATTTTCTTCCGAAATAAAATCGAACATCGGGAGTAACTGCCAGTATACGTAACTATAGACAATAACTCCGCAAATGGGAGAACAACTCCACCACATACCACATAGTGCAACACGTCACTAAACGGTTTAAAAAGGTCTATAGAAATTCGTACCTGGTGGTGTGTACTTAATGGTTTTGGACCGATGCATTCAAACCGACTTGTGGTATGCCAGGATGATCGCTTCCTTTCTTGCCTTGGAGTACGTACAGCGCAAAATATGTTGCAATGACTGTGGATTCAAATATGTTGATGCAAGGCAAGATTGATGAAAGAAGAAACGAAAGCAGGCTTTCCAGACTTCTTTTTCTGGGTCTGTGACGGCCTGGCGATGGCCTAAGGCTGGCCTTTCACGGACGAAATTCTCAACGAAACGCGAGGAAATTGAGAGAAGTGAATGTCGCCAACCCAAGGTCAAATCGTTTGCAGCCCTAATTTTCCTCCAGATCCCTTCCTGAAAGTAAAGCGAATTCGCAGGAGTTTCCACGTGTGAGCTACATGCATGCGGGCGATAAGAAATATACTTGACGATAAAAAAATGTAGCACGGACACCTGACCCTGACTGTCAGACACATATTTCATTCGAGTGGAATCTATTTCTTCCTTGAAGCACCATCTTTTATCAGGTCGATTTGAAGTTCAACGGAAAGTTTCGCTAAAATAATGGAATTCCGTTGCGTGTGTATTGGAAATGAGATATTATGCGGGAAAGGGCTACAAGTGAAAGACTTGAATGAAGAGAACCTCGAACATTTGTCATTTCCAGTCGCATTGAACGGTTCCATGAAGACTCAGGAGAAATGAAGTATTTATACCTTATCCTAATCCTTATCCTTCACGAAACACGAAAAAGAAATATGCATGAAGAGAACCTCGAACATTTGTCATTTCCAGTCGCATTGAACGGTTCCATGAAGACTCAGGAGAAATGAAGTATTTATACCTTATCCTAATCCTTATCCTTCACGAGACACGAAAAAGAAATTTCCGCACCTGTAATTTCTGGTGATCAAAGAACAATCCACGCAAGTGGGTTTTTATTTCCAGTTTCTTCGTTTGTTTCGATGGAGAAGAAGCTTCTCTAACCCAAGAAAAATACCTCAGGTTGAGATAGAATAACCAGAAGTCGGGCCTCCTGTTCTCGAGAAACCGAATTGAAGAAATTCACGGAATCAATGCCACCCTATGTGCAAATTCCAGGGAAAGAGCTCAAGTGCACACACCCATTTGGTAAACGAAGCTATTCCAAGAGTAATTGTGGTAACGGACTTCGTTGTACCAAGCGTCGACAACATCTTCCGGCTTTACGGGCGACACCCCCGCGGTCATGTAGCAATTTTCTCCATATTGCTTCCCGTCCTGTCGACCCACGTTTATTCGGTGCTCCAATCGATTACATTGAGACAGCTGCTCGCGACATTCAGTGGAATATCGAGGATGATAGTGATAAGGCTTCTGGTTCCATTTTTATTGCCTGCTCTCGTCTCCCGGATTGCCATCGAAAAAAAAAACAGTGGTGGCGATACGATGGAGGGGAAAGGAGGTGGGGCTGACTCCCGAGTACCCAGCGCCAATCAGATTTCTTCGGCTTGCATTTTCGTGTCAAATATGGGAACGTTCGAGTACCGACATCCCCCCCCCCGAAGCATGGACTGGGTGGGGCAAAAAAAAAAGTATATTCAACAGTTATCTTTAACACTTCACGGCGTAGTTTCTCGAGAGCTTCAACATATTACAATGACATCCCTGTTTAGAACTTTTCCCCGGTTTTCCACAGCTGCGGAAATGTTCTATATCCATTCCGTCACTCCAATTTAGTTAGCGCACAGTGTAGCAGATTCCTCGCTGGAAAAGAACGCTTGCCAGGACCCTAGGTTCGTTCCGTGAGGCGTCCGTCCCTTCGCTTGCACATTCCCAGTCTTTTGTCAGGATGTTCTTCGCAGCCTTAGCTACTCTAGCGCTCTCATACTTCCCTGGATTTTTGGCCTCGAGTCTCGCAAGTCTTTCGGATTTCCAGAAGCCGAAAATCTGTCGGCAGGCAGTGGCGAAGCTGCACTCCTCGATACCAAACGCTCCCTGATGGTCATCCGTCGAGAAATAGTGCGTCTTTTGGTGATGACGCTGGGCATCGACGGTGTCCCATCGGCCGCGTTCTTCACGTTGGGCCGCAAATCGCACGCTGGGAATGCACGACAAACCAAACCGTGACATACCGTCATACCGTGACATACTGGGAACGAAATCGCTTTTCTTAGGCTCTTTCTCGCCCCCTCTTTAAGTCTCCAATGATTTGAAAGTCATGCCCCAAATTTTCGTCCTGTTAATATCACTGATGACATACCATCATACCGTGACATACTGGGAACGAAATCGCTTTTCTTAGGCTCTTTCTCGCCCCCTCTTTAAGTCTCCAATTATTTGAAAGTCATGCCCCAAATTTTCGTCCTGTTAATATCACTGGAAAGCCGAATGATTATCCCATATGAAGGCGCAACTGCGATTTTTTCAATCTCTTGGTGACTAATGCTGTGGACTGATGAAGATAACCCAATTTACTTTTGCCCATCTCGCAAATGAGCTGGAAAAATGGATATCGTTGGAATCCCTCTTCGATTTGATTTGATCAAAAACACGCTTTGCTGCTTCTGACTTCATACGACGATGAATATTTCTCGATCGCATTCATACTATCATGTTTCGAAGGAGCTCGCGATGCCGGTGTCGAGATTATTTTGATCATGCGCAATGACCCAGAACTCATTATGCCCAAGAAGAATCTCATGTATTGAGTTGAAGCGTCATACATGAACGTATTCCTAATTTGATTGGAATTTCAAATACCGAACTTGAGAAGTTCCAGCAACCACCTTGTGATTCCAGGAAATCAGAACGTCCCATCTGGAATCCATTTGCGAGACTTCCTGCCGCGGGAAATCTCGCAGAGGGAGAGAGCTTTTCTCCCCGCAGCCCGGCAGCACACCTCGCAGAGATTACGAAGCCCGTGAAGTGGTGCTCGAGAGGACAGCAGATATCGTTCATGTTTACCTGCGAAAGCACGTGAAGAGGGAGAACGCCTGCCAAATGAGTATAATCTACTGATACTTCGAAATGTGTGGTATTAATACTTCGAGGAAATAACTACGAGAAAGTCTTGATACTTAAGGAAAATTCATAATTAGGCGCAAAAATTTTTTTTGAAAAGTTGCCTGCAATTTGTTGGAAAGGCCATTGGCTATCTTTTAAAACAACGTTTATCGAATTCGAGGGCTAAGACAAGAGTAAACCACTACATCTCTTTTCCAAAATGCAACGGGGACTTGAAGTCGCCTCTTTATGAATTTGTTGAGATCATGGCAGCTGCATTCGATTCGAAAGCTGCATTACCTACTCGAAAGGAAATTCCTCCTGTCCACGAGAGTGCAGGTTGTCTGTGTCGGCGATTCATAACGATACATACGAGACTCCGCAAACTAAAAACATAAGAACAAACCATGTGAGGGTGGACTAATGGATGAAGCATAATCTTCCTCTCGGGAAACGCAAGGGAATAAAATTATTTCTGCACTTGCGGGAAAAAGCATTTATAAGCTCCACTCACAATATAGCGTCTTTGCTTATCAACGAGATTGCCAGTTGGACGTTCTCTTCTTTCATCTTCAGTCGTATCACCAGTCAGTCGTGTGGATCAATCGGTGTTTTAAGCCAGTGTGTGGCGCTCCTGTAGATTTCACCCAGGGCGTCGAGTAAGCTGGACTTAGGAACCTTTCACGTGTATTAGACCGTCTCGTCCAGGGATTCGTCCGGAATGGGGAACGATATGTCTTGCCCTAAGGGGCATGCGGTGATGTCGATCGACTTTCCCCCCTATACTTCTAATTGGGTATGCGATCGCTGCAAGGAAAGCTTCAAATCCAATGGTGGCAGGTGGCGTTGCTGCAACGAGTGCGATTTCGATCATTGCAATTCCTGCATTGAAGCGGTTGACCATAAGCCAGAACATGAACACACATTGGCCTATGTCAGTTACATTTGCAGCGAATGTAGAGAGAAATATGTGGGGGACCGAGTGTATTGTCCAACATGCATAATTGAATACGATGCCTGCTACCAGTGCGTCCTGCGTAAAATAACAGAAATGGATACTTCCGGCGACGGGAAAGTCAAATCTATCTCACTCAATGCATTACCATTTGCTATAGGAGACGACCACGATGTATTTAAGGTGGATGCAACTTTGGAGGATGGCAAGTTTAATGCCTACATGATAAACG